GGAACAAGAAGCTGCTAGGGGCGCTCCTATGACTTGTTCTCTTATGCGTTTTGATGTTCGTCCTTGTTGGTTCTCGTCCGGCTCCGAATAGGTGGAAGGCCGTTGCCTGTGCGGTCGTAGCTCGTCAGCAAGGAGTCAGCCACATGTTTCAGCGCACGAAAAGCATCTAGAAAATCACATCCAGCAAAGCGCACCTTTTCTTTGTTTTAGGAATTCAGTGAGGCACTGCAGGCACTCGTTCCTCTTTGGGCATCTGGCCTTGCGGCTACGGCACCTCCGCCGATGCTTCAGAAGAACTCACAGAGCTCAAAAAGTTCTGAGTTGCCTCTTGACTGGGAAGCGGTTGACGGATTTGAAGTAAAAAGCCGAGCATTTTCGTTTCGTTTGAGCTCGATGGCAGCTTGATTGATGTCCTGAGCTGTTTCATGTTTTCAATGCTCAGCAGCACACATTTCTCCGTGTACTTCTTTGAATGCTATCCATTCTTGGTTGCTTTGTCAATCTTTCAACAAAGGCGTTCTGAGAGACTCGTTTTCCGTGCGCAGCATAAAGGGTAGTTGTAAACTTGAACTGTGAACATGCGTGACAAGAAACCAGTTGCAATGGCGCGTGGCAATCTGTTTGGCAATTTTCTTGACTTTGAATAGACTATGGTGCCATGTTTGTGCCATTTCCGTTTTTGTTTTTGGAAAGTATCTTCGACTATAGAAGAACAACAGGTGTCGAGCAAGTGCTCAGAACAGCCGAGGCAACCAGTGTTTCCTGGAAGCGTAAAAATCCCAAAGGAGGTGCGCGCGGCTATTTGTTGCAGCTCAAAAACCAAAGAAAAGAGGAAGAAATCAAGGAACAAAGAAAGGTATAAAGGTCAACAAAGAAGGATGAGAAAAGACAGAGGACAGAAAAAGACAGAGAAGAATGAAAAAGGATCCAAGAACATTCTTGTTCCTCAAGCGTTCACATCGTTCCTTACACGCCAAGAACTCAAGGCACCAATCTCCCGCTTCGCCTCCGCCTTAGAGGGCCTGGGCAAAGCACTTTCAGAGGAAGTCCACTTGACTTCAACCCCTTCGGTGTGTTTCTGTATGCTTCACGTCCCATTTCTGTGGTACTAGTATCGTAGTATCATGATGTATTATGGTAACATCAGGTTGGATTTTCCTTGGAAAGACTTTTCCAACCATTTGGTTCGATCTTCGAGGTTGAGAGGGTTCAGCCGTGCCAAGCTCAGTCCGCCGCCTTCCACCTTCAACCACATCCATGCAGAGACATCCGACCCAGGTACCGCGCCACCGGCATGATTCAAAAGCCGAGATTTTGGCGGGGAGCTTTGCATTTGACATGTGAGTGGCTTTGACAAGTTGTCAAGAGGGGACAGCGATCCCAAGTAGCTAGTAGGTATATGTAGATATAGTAGGAAGGTGCAAGTAGGAGATCCAGGAAGCTACTACTAAGCTTGGACGTAGAGCTTAGACTTCCTGTAAGAATCTAAGAACCCCTCGACCCCTCGCATGATTGACTTCGTTTGGAGATGTTCGTTCCACAACACGCTCGTTAAAACGCTTAGGCACGGACGAGGCTATGGCAAGCATCCATTTCTGGTGCCCTGGAGTTTCAAAAGAGAGTCACGAAGTGGATCAAGAAGCGACTCTCTTCGCCGCGAGTCACTTCTCAGTTCAATTTCTTTGTTAAACCATATTATATTTATCCCCCTAATGGAAGACTCATTTGCTCCGGTCGCTCAGTTCATCATGTTCTCACGTGTTGGCTTCGGTCGCTTTTGGGTTCTCAACGCGAAGGTGCGATCCTGGAAAACTCTGCAAAAGGAGATGAAGAAGAGACCTTCCATGGCGATACCTGGAAAGGCAGAACGTGCGTTTAGCGAAAGAAAACAGACAGAAAAACAGACAGGTGGCGCTGTATAGTTATTTTCATTTCCCACCAGACGATACGATGACGAATGCGTTCTGCTTTGTGCACTTGTGCACTGCACCTTCGTGACTCGGGCCGCGACGCCAGATGCTGGCGGAGGTAGGTAGCCACTCTCCGACTGAACGGACGTCCCAGGTCGCAAGGCCCACGCAGAGAGAGCAGATGCTGCGGAGAATGTTGATTGGAGGGACAGCGCCAGAGGTGGAGCAATTTGACCGGGTGATTCAGGCGCGGGTGGCGGGTTTTTGGATTCTTGGAGGATTTTGCGAGTCAAAAAAAGAGACATGTAGGGCATGAAGAGAGAGATACCCAGTGTAGAGCACTTTTAATTAGTACATGCATGTTTCTTCTGGGATTCTATGGGATTCTTGCTTCTCTCGCGGTAGAGTGGAGACAAGACATCCATTCTTTAAGGCGAGACCACTGACTTGTATTCAGTGCGAGCTATCAGAGAGTTCTACTTCAGGTCTTTGCACAGCGCGCTCGTCAAGAAGTGCGTTATCCTCTGTTGATTCAACGCCAAGAATATGCCAAGCGTGCCAAGCTCGAGTCTTGGTTTTGTGGAATCACAAACATGGCCTTCGCCTCATCGTGTAATTCGGCGCCTGAACATATGCAGGGGTTGGGCCTGGGAGATGCTTCTCAACGACCTGGTGCCAAGTAGGAAGACCTACAAGGCCGAAAAAGTGGATTGCGAAAGGTAGCCCAGCTAGCCCTGTTTGCTTTTTTGGGGCTTAATCATTTGAACTCCACATGTTTTTGAATTGCGGTGCTGGGGCCTTCTTTGTGAAGTCTGAGTTTTATTTTTGCTTGTAAGCAAAGGATATTTTGAAGAGAAATTTCCAAGTTACAGCCACTTGCAGTTGGCGTGAGTGATCGTGGGTGCAAGTAAGAGAGCAGTCAGGAGACAAAATGGTAGTGTGGTAAAGTGACGCCTGCGGGACAGCTGCGGGTTTGTGCTATGTGGCATGCTGGTGATAGGAGTTTGGGAGATTCCTGACATCGAGGAGGATTCAGAATGCTTGCTGAAGGGTTGGGGAGAATGAGGGGGTCATCATCAGAAAGCCAGTGGAAAAAGGAGTCTAAGAAGGCATTGTTGAGACTGCGGAAGGTTGGCGGAGGATGATATTCAGTGCTTCGCAAGCCATTGTCATAGTGGAACGGAATCAGAGAATCGAGAGTGCTCTGTAGAGGCTGCGGAAGCCTGAAGGAACAGAAAGGAGAGAGCCCCCATAGCAACAAGTAACGATTTCATCGCTTCACCAGCCCACAGGTCGCAGGCCAAGTCACAGCCTTGCCCTGCACTTCACCAAGCCAGCAACCACTATCACGCGACCCTTCACCACTCTGAAGTCGCACCTCTTCATCACTGCTTCGGGGAACCTCCCGGGCTTGTTTGGAATAGCTTCTGGGTGGAGGTTGGTGGTAGCATCTGTGTGAGGACCAGTTGGTCAGAGTATTTTGGAGGCCTTGATGCACTTCGAAGCACAGGAATGAGTTGGCGTCAGGATGGATCTTGCGACCACTCCAAGTGACGAGACATTTCACAGCCAACCTTTGCTTGAGAGGAAAACCAATGATTGCTCGTTCAAGCTTTTTGTGATCTGCGCACGAGGGACGGCGTAAACAAGTCTGAACTTCCGCCCGCCAACCCTGCCATGATCTACCTGGTAGCGTGCTAACAGCAAGGGTTGGCTTAGGCCTAGGCTTAAAGCTACTACTTAGCTGCTGTTGGACATTGCAGGCTATTCGTTCAAATTCCAATTCTTGCTGTCAGCAACTTGGCGGGCGTCGGCCTACCTATCTTGGTTGTTTGAGGGGCCTTCAGTCGAAATACTTTACTTCGAGTGATCCTCGCCATGACATGTCAATCAGTTGCTTTCATGACATGGTGAGGAGCATGTTTGCCATGGTGGTGGGTTTTGCATCCTCGGGCTTGTGGTTGTTGTTTTAGTGTTGAGGAGTTCGCGTCGGGTGTCGCCAGGGTCTACAGCTGGCATTCTACCCAACGCGCGACTCTGTGAC